AAGGGAACTCTCTAGGGTCTCTTTTATAAGGACACTAATCCCATTCATTAGGATTCTACCTCGTGACCTACTTACCTCCCAAAGGCCCCACCTTGAATTTGTATTAACCATGACTATGAGGGTTAGGATTTCAACGCATGAATTTGGGGTGGGGTGGGGGAGTGGTGGTGGGGACACACAAATCCAGTCTATAGCAGTAGGAAAGCCAAATACGAATCTGGAATATGTATCTATTCCTGTGAGATAAATCACCACTCCTTCCCTGATGGAAAGGATCCAGTGTGTGGTAGAATGATTGCAAAAATCGCCCAATATTCCCCCTCTCTGTACGTATGCCCCTTGAAATGCAGCTTCGAAGCTGCTTCCAATTAGGAGACGGAATCTCTGTCTCCATCCTTTCGGTTGGGCTGGTTTCGTGACTAGCCAATAGAAAGTGGCAGAAGTGACAGTGTGACAATTTTCGACCTAGGCCTCAGGTCCTTCTACAGACACATTCTCCAGACCTTTTGTTTGATTTTGGAACCCTACCATTGCCATGAGAATAATTCCAACCCAGTCTGCTGGATATTGGGTGACCAGATGGAACAAGTCAAGTTGACCCAGCTGAGGCCATCTTAAACCAGCCCACCCCAGGTGATCGACCATCTGACCACAGACACATGAGGGAGCCCAACCAAGACCAGAAGAATTGCCCAATCTGTAGTTTTGTGAGAAATAATTAATGATTATAGCCTTAAGGCATTAAGTTTGGGGATCAGGAAGTTGTCATGTGGTCAGACAGTCCCTAATGTAGATTTGCCATACTTCCATAGATTCAGCATAGATAGTTTATTGTTCACAGCAAAGCAGGTGGCATGAACTTCATGTTTTCATTGGTTCCCTTTGCTCCCCCCCGCCAAGCACAATGTAGGTGATGCAGGTAAATGCAATGCACAATAGATCTGGAACATAGATGAAAAACACTGAGTGTAGGAAACCCTCAATCTCAAAAGAGGAATGCTAGCAAACCTGCCCTCTGGAGAGAGATTTTATTATACTGGTCAGGAAACAAATCTGCCTTCCAACCCAGTAGAGACATTTTTTTTTTAATAAAGATTTTATTTATTTATTTATTTGAGAGAGAGAGCGCATGAGCAGGGAGTGAGGGAGAAACAGACTCCCTGCTGACACAGGGCTCAATGCCAGGACCCTGGGATCACGACCTGAGCCGAAGATAGATGCTTAACCAACTGAGCCACCCAGGCACCCCAGTGGGAGACATTTTTTTAATCATCCTGAAATACCTCCAGGATTGATGGGTGATGCCAGCTTTATTATCTTTATGACTATTATTTATTTAAATTTTTCTAAGTAAGGAAATCTCCTCCCTCCCCTAAGCAGTTTTGCAAACATCCTCAAACAAAGCTGTCAACTCCATTTGCTTAGAAATGTCAGCATTACTCCCAATAGTTTCTTACAGAGTAGTATAGCTAACTGATTTGCCATGCAATCAACCTATCACTAAGAAGTGTCTAGTCCCCCCCCGCTCCCCCGCCATCCCACAGGGGCTCAGTGTTGGTGTCTGCTGTTGGACATCCATCAGGAGCCAGACCAGCCCTGGTGAGAGGAAATCTATACTGTAGAGCCCATGCATAGCTATCACAGCCACCTTTTTCATGATTCCATTGAGCAAGCACTGGGGAGCCAGAAAAAGAGGCTGACTGACATCCCCAGGTTATATCATTGTGTCCATTTATTTTTTGAGAGCCTCTTCCAGAATGGATGCCCTCTGGTGGGCATTTGTAAGAAACACAAATATTTTCACCATTCCAAGAGGTCCATCCACACACCAACTCCCCAGGCCTTCTTGTCACTGATCTTCCATGCTAACACTTTCCAAGTCTTTGGACAACCAGGAAGGGGCTTGGGACCAGCTTTCCAGGACACTGAACACAGCAGAAATGGATGGGGGAGGGGAGTAGGAAAGGATAGGAAAATAGAGAATTAAAAAAAAAAAAAAAAGAGGGCTCTAGAACAACAGAGACCTGAAAACCTGGCATAGTGCTATGGACTAGGGTGCCTCAATGAGGGCACTCTCACAGGTTTCAATCTTTGTGTTTTCCTTTGGATTAAAATGACAGTTATATTAACTATTCATTTTTAGGTTTTCCTCCTCTGACTGTAATTCTCTTTAGTTAAACCTAATGGATTAGGAAAAACATCATGTACCCCTACAAATGTCCAGAGATAGTTTTTTGAACATTATTAATGTGTTTTACTATTTTGCTTTGTCTGTTAGGAAATGGGAAAGGAGGAGATGGTATTATTGGGTAAACAACCTAGAGTGTCCCCTTCATTTATGTACTTCTAATTTGTATCTTTTTGGCTATTTCTTTTTTTCATAGCCCTTTAAGCCTCACCACCTTAAATCCTTTTTTGGAGCATGGATTAAATTAAATTGCATTGAATTAAATGAGTATTCTCCTCCCCAATAATTTTAAGCTTCTATAAATATAATTTTAATCACTGCATAACATTGTATTATATAGATGTAATATAATATGCTTGACTTCCCATTGTTTTGCTTTTATAATTTAAGTGGGATGAAAATAGTATGTTATCTCAACTGTGTTATAGATTGGGAATGGGGAGGGAATATTGAAATTGCCTTTGTTTAATAAAATAATTTGATAAATGGCTCGGGAAGATCAGATCCTAAGGGCATGCCTGCAGGCTAAAGCCAAAGCAATGAAAGAGGTAGCTAAACTGGAACGTGGTCTTCTCCTGGCAAATGACAAGAACACAAGAGGGCTGATGGAAACTTGGCATGCCTCTAAAGCCTGAGTTTAGAACTGGCACAGTTACTTCACCGCATATTCCATCGGCCAGATTAAGTCATGAAGCCAAGGATGAAGTCAGTGGGGTGGGAAGATTACTCCCACCTACAGAGAAGCATGGCAAGAACAGGGAGGGAAGAAAGAATAGGAAACAAATACAATCTGCTAGTGAAAAGCCCCTAGTAATGGGGGTGACTGAGACTTTAAGAAGAGATGCATCCAACACCCAATTTGAAGTTATTTGCATTTCTGTCTGGTAAACTCCCTCCCCTTTATGTGCCTGTATTTGCCACAGTCTGCTATGTGCGCAAATAGCTCATGGGAGTAGCATTTGTAAAAATTAAGAAAAAGATATGTGCGTTCAATCTGGGTGAGCATTGTGTTGAACAGCAAAAACAATCCCAAGACATCTAGATGACCCATGAATCCAGTAGGAGCAAAGAACCAGGATTGACCATAAGATAACAAGCCCTCTGGGAATGTACAGAAATCTTGAGGAGGACATTGACCTTTACATAATTCACAAAATTGAGACTTTAAGCAATCCTCTTTAGATCTTACAGAACAGTGTCTCCCGGGAATCTAATCTCATAAATGTAATTACTGATCAAAGAGTATAAACTTTTTTTCAGGCTCTTGATAAATAATGTTGAATTGGTTCATGATAAAGAGTTCAAAGAGACATTCAGAATTTTTTTACTTAAAATTTTTTCAGCCATATTAAATACCAAAAGGAAAACATGAAAAAAGTTTTGAAAGTAAGAAAAAATATACAAGCATGGGGCGCCTGGGTGGCTCAGTCATTAAGCGTCTGCCTTCGGCTCAGGTCATGATCCCAGGGTCCTGGGATCGAGCCCCACATTGGGCTCCCTGCTCCGCGGGAAGCCTGCTTCTCCCTCTCCCACTCCCCCTGCTTGCATTCCCTCTCTCGCTGTGTCTCTCTGTCAAATAAATAAAATCTTTTTTAAAAAAGGAAAGAAAAAATATACAAGCAGATGTGGTTATTGAATTATAACAGTCATTGACAATGACTGTTCTGGGCAATTTTATGTTTAAATCTGAAACTCCCTGACAGTAGTAATTCCTTAAACCTTGGAAATTAACCTGGATCTTCAGTCCCAGGGAACTGAGGACGGCTGGTCACCCTACTAGGCAGGAAGGGGGAAGGGGGACATCTACCCCAGACCTGGACTTGGAGAAGGATGATGTCTACCTGTGTCCTCCTTAGAGTTGCATTACTGTCTTTGGTTGAGAAGCGGAACCTGAAACAGAGACTCTTGTTCCAGTGGTTTATTGAGGATGTGCTCTCAGGGGACGGAGAGTGAGAGAAGTAGGGTATACAGCAAAGGGAGAATGCTGAGCAAGAATGTGGTGTCAGATGAAGACTGACTTCAGCCTGATCCCACAAGGAGCACCAGAACAGGAACTGCACCAGAGTTGATTCCTCCTTGAGGTGAGGGCTCAGTTGTCTGTACCTCCACACAAGAAGACGGCAGTTCTTTTCTAGAACAGGTCTCGAAGTTAGGGTACATCAGAATCACCCCTGGAGGGCTTATTAAAACAGACTGTTCGGTCAACTCTCAGAGTTTCTGATTCAGTAGGTGGGGGCGAGAGAATTTGTATTTCTAAGAAGTTCCCATGTATTGCCAATGCTGCTGGTCCAGGGACCACACTTTGAGAATCACTGCCCTAGAGAAAAAGACAGCTCACTGCACCTGGAAAAGGAGATCTGAGTGGGAGAGGGAGAGGGAGAAGGAGTGGCATCTACTACAGGTATGAACTTGGCATCTTCCTCAGGAAGGCGTATAATAGGGCTAGAGGATTGGACCACATGCTGAGCCTGGGCAGACTACATTTTCAGATCATTTTATCTAGATTCATGGTATTCTGTTATCTTCCTGTTATCATCCGCCGTCTCCAGCCGAAGGATTGTTGAAACATTCCAACTCATCTCAGCCTTGCCATTTGGACTTGCAGGGAAGAGTCTGGCAGGTAGGGGAGGCTTTAAAGAGGAAGCAGCTGCACCTCACTAGGCAAGCACAGTGGAGTCAGTTGCAATCAGTGGAAAATCCTCAACAGGGAAATAATTATTGGGGGGCAAGCCTCATAGACCACCTCGGAAGTGGTTTGTTTGTTTGTTTGTTTGTTTGTTTTAAATTAAAGGAAGACGGCTTTTGAAGGCAACTTTTAATTTCATAAGTCCCACCAGAACCCAAAACAAACTGTCCCCGCCCCCTGGGGGATCACCACCAGATGAAGACGAATGTATAAAAGTAACTGAAATACTTGGCCCGTAATGTCCTCCCGGAGTACGGTTCATAGTATACCTGGTACCCCTGGGCTGTAATGTCCATCTTCACGCAGTCGAGGAGGTCCTTGACCTGCGGGGCCGCCTTCCAAGGGCCGAACTTGACAACCGACCTCTTTTCGGCCTCCAGGATCCGCAGAGCATCCGCGCAGTGCGCCGCATCCTCCTCAGTGCGCACGGCGCACACCAGCACCGGGGACCTGCGTGCCGCCATGGCCTCGGCGCGCGCCAGGCGCACCATGAGCTCCAGGTTCTCGCTGTAGCCTGGCACCCGCAGCAAGAACTGCTTCCGGGCCACCTGCTCCCCGAAGATCTGCGGTGTGTCCTCCAGGAGCTTGACCAAAGGCTTGATTGCGTAAAACTGCGCCTCGCGGTACACCTCCGGGATGTGGTGCGTGGGCAGCCGCTCGCTACGCAGGTAGTCCAGGATGGGTCCGAAATAGGTGCCGGGGCGATCGATGAAGACGCGGCCCTCTGCGTCCGTGCAGGCCTTAGCTGAGCTGGAGAACATCTCTGCCAGCTTTGTACCCGGGAGTTTTCTTAGGGTGCCCACGGTGGTGGTGTACAACTCACCTCCCACGTTAAGCTCCACGACAGGGGATCCCTGAGGGCACAAGAAGGCAGAGTGAAGCAGTAGTGCCATTTCTGGGGAGCTCGTGGCTTATTTTCATCCATGGAATATTACAAAATATTCGTCCAGGAGCCTGCTGTAGAAGCAAGTCCCGGTGACCCCACTTGCAAAGCCTGTGGCGTTTGGCAGAGCTTTTCCCCTCTCTATGCCTCTTTCCTCATTTATAAAACAGGAATATGGAGCTGTTGTGAAGTCAGAAGTCCCCAAGGTGGGATGTTCAGATCTAAGATATAGTAAAAAAAAAAGGGGGGGGGGCGGGAGGCATTTTCAACCTTTCAGAGAGGCTAAGAAACCATACATGTGTTCATTCAGGAAGCATTTTAGCATTTCTTGGGTACTTACTGTAGGTCCACATCCTGTGGTGGGAGTTGGGGACACAAATTCCTTTTTTTTTTTTAAGATTTTTGTTTATTTATTTGTCAGAGAGAGAGAGCACAAGCAGGGGGAGCAGCAGGCAGAGGGAGAAGCAGGCTCCCCACTGAGCAGGGAGCCTGACGTGGGACTCGATCCCAGGACTCTGGGATAACGACCTGAGCTGAAGACAGACTTAACCGACTGAGCCACCCAGGCACCCCACAAATTCTTGTTTAATATAGGTCAGAAGTTCTGATTAGCAGTTGGCATGACTTTGATTCATTAAGGGAATTTGTGTGATAGATGTCTTTCAAAAATATGGGCTGGGGGGTATCAATAACAGGAATATCATTGGTGCTGAAAAGGTCAGTAACACCAAGTATTATGGGTATAAAACTGCCCCCTAAACTGTAAAGTGTGGTGCCAATAGAAGGTAGGTTTAGCTGGTCTACAGAATTTTTAGAGGCCTCTTCTCTATGCCAAACCTTGAGCTGAGCACTGAGGATGTGGTGAAGACCCACGTGGTGCCTGCCTGGAGATGCCCACAGGCCAGTGGAGGGAGACCTGGGAACAGACTGAGAGTCAGGCTGCATTTGGGGAATACTAACAGACCGAACAAAAATACCAGATTTTTACATGTGAGGTGATATACTAGTTGTTAGCCTTCCAAACCAGCTTCCTGAATAACTTTGGTTATCTAAAATTGACTCACTCAGTCAATAAAATATGTATGTGCCAGGTACCTGGAACACTGAGGAACAAGCAGGACAGTCTCTCCCCTCAGAGTCTAGTAACTGGGCAAAGCACCTTCTATTCAACCTCTAATTCAATCCTCACAGCAATCCTATGTAGAATGAATTAAATCCTCATTTTACAGGCGACGAAATGAAGGATTAAGGAGCTGAAGTAAATTGCCTAAAGGCAATCAGCTATTAAGTGTGATGATGTCAGAACTTAAACTCAGGGCCACGTTACCCTGAAGCATGCGCTCTTAGTCATTACATCAGCGAGTTTTCACCCTTTAAATACCTCCACTCTTCATTCCCTTAGTTACTCATTCATTCCAGAAAATGTAGAGGGCCTATTACATTCAAGCCAGGCACGCAGTCCCTGCCCTCAAGGAGCTCACAGAGGAGAGAGGGAAACAGATGGCTTAAATGTGCAGGCGCCGAGAGGGGAGACTCAGAAGCTCATCATGTGGATGGATGTGTGTTGGAGGTTGTCAGGGAAGGTTTCCGAGGGGGTGTGATGGCGCAGCCACAGAAAAGACTGGGGCAGTTTCAGTGGGAGGCTGCATTTCCGTCCCAGAGACTCTGCCACAGGTCACTGCAGAACCAGGAGTAGTGACAGGGTTCAGGAATGTCCTGGGTTCTCATTTAGGTGTGACTTCATTCTCAGCTTGACTGTGGGCTCTACCTCTAAGATTCAAGTACTGGAATAAAGAGAGCCAGAGGCAGCCAAACGGCTGGGAAGAAAGAACTGAGTTGCCATGGCAACAGCTCCTACGGGGGGGGGGGGGGGGGTGGCGGGGACAGTTCCGCTGGCTGGAGTAGAGAAGGGAGACCAAGGGGAAGCATTCTGACAGCAGCCAAACCATACGGCCGGGAGAAAAATAAACCGAGAACCTGTGACTTCCTTTCTCCCATAAACCTCAAGGCCCCTTAGCAAGGCTGTTCGGTTAACCCTGAGGTGGCTCTGTGAAGCAGGCAGTTAAATGCAAAGTCGCAGACTTTCACCCTTGAATGGTCGGATGTGCTCTCATCATGCCTGTGCCCTGAAAGCTCACAGATGCTCTTGAGGTCTGTATATTACAGGCGAGGAAAGCTCAGAAAGATGGGTCACACAGCTAGGAAGTTAGGTCAGAGCCGCAATCAAACCCCTATCAGTGTGACTCCAGGAGGCGGATGGGTGCCCTACCCCTCCCAACATCCAGTCCCAACGCAGCCAGTAAGTAGCGATGTGCCTGGGTAAGCTCACTTTCTTCTGTGGGCCTACGCCTAGTCATTTATGAAATAGGGAAGGCAAAAGCACAAAGTGAACTCTTAAGTCTCTCCAGCTCTGGAAGTCTAATGAATCCAATCACTTCAAATGTTGTTTCTGAAGGTCATTTCCAGATGCTTCACAAAATAGCTTCCTGTCCTGATGTTCTCAGGCCCATTTCTTTGTTTACCAAACAAGACCTCAGTCTTGTTCCTAAACTTCTTAATTCTCTCTTTCCCCTCCTTTTTTTCCAGAATTTTCCAGTTTCTTTGGAAATCCCAGACCTCCTACCTCATCCACAAATACTGCAATATGTTTCTAGCAAATAAAGACTTCTTTTCCACCCCTCTTCTGACCACTGCCCATTTTCATGGCCGCTCTTCCCCACCTTTTCTACCTCCCAGTAACGCTGCGGAAACATTCCTGGGTAGGAAAGCCTATCTCAGGCCCTGTGTGCATGGGCTGGGGGAAACATGATCTTTAGGAGCCCTTGCTGGGTGTCAGGCCAGTGCTGGCCCTGAGGGCACAGGGATGAATCAAACAGACCTAGCTCTCACACACATGCAAGCCCCCTGTCAAACCTTCAGACGTTTCCTGAGGTCACCCTTAGTAGAGTCACTCCAATGTCTCCCAAGCCTCTCTAGATCTCTCCCCACCCCACAACCCTCACCTTTTCCATTGTTCCCTATCTCAGTCATCTGAGGCCAAAATCCAGGTTGTAATCTTGCAGTCTGCTGTATCTTCAACCTCCTCCCACCTAGGTAATCATAACCAAGTCCTGGTGATTCTCAGTTCTGGTCAATTCCATGGCTCTCTGCCTCCTCGAGTGCCCTTCCCCCAATCCAATCTCTACTCTGAAACCAGAGTCGATCTTCTGAAGTGCAAATCTGATCTGGCCACACCCCGCATTGAACACTTCAGGTACCTGACATCGCCTTCCAGATAAATTCTAGACTCCTTAATAAGTTTTACAAGGCCCTTTGCAGCCCTGGCAAGATCAACTACCAGAACCACTCTGCCCCCACCCATCCAGAGCAGGCTGGTCCCCCTTGCCTCCAGGACTTGACTCATTTGCTGCCCACACTGTCTTCACTTAGGCCACTCATCCTTCAAGTTAATTCCTCCAGAAATCTTTCTAGATGGGTTGTCTCCTTGTGATCCTCCAGGGCCCTGTATTTCCACCGTCATGGCAGTTATCTCTTGTAATTCCATTTGTTCATCTGTATCCCCCGCTAGACTGTGAGGTTCCTAAGGGATGACTATCCCAGATTCCTCTCTGTGTCACCAGTACCTACTACAGGGCCCAGCACACCAGGATGCTCAATAAATTCCAATTGACTGGAGCTTACCTGCTGCACTGATTTACAGGAGCGCCTGGTATTCTGATAAAAGCCTGTCTTTCCCTACCTGGCAGCATGCACCATGCTGGCTCCCTCTCTTGCTCAGGAATTCATTTATTGAGCACCTAGGGCGGCCCTGCCACGGAGCAGGTGACTTTGCTTTTGTCAACAGCCAACCACAATGACGTTATCATTGTTCTATGGGAAAGAGCCACAGTCTCCCCCTGCTGGATCTGCTTTGCCTTCCAGGAGTCTTCAGGATGGCACCTAGCCCAGGAGAGATTAGAATGTTCTGCTCCTGTAGCGCACTGGGCCTTTTCCGGATCCCCCTCCCCCCGCAAACTCCCCTCAACCACACCCTGGGAGGGGGCAGGCGAGCAGGCGGACTCAGGACGCTGCCGGAGGGGAAGGGGCAGGCTGGAGAGGACGGGGATGTGGTGGGTGGAGGGAATGAGAGTCCCGCAGCCTTCCGTTGGGTCTTCTCCCAAACCCGGGAGGAGGAGGGGCCGCGGAAGAGCGGTGGACTAGGACAAGCCAGGGGACTGAGCGGAGACACACAGAAAACAGCTGAAACAAAGACCGAACAGAGAGGGAGGAGACAAACAAAGGCGGCCAGGCAGGAAAGGGGGCAAGGAGGAGAGGCTGGTCCGAGCCAGGGAGGGGAACGGGCACGGGTGGGCGGAAGGAGAGGTCAAAGCCAGAACTCGCTAGAGGAGGAGAGCGCCCAGCCAGGGGCGCGCCAGAAGCTAGGGGCCTCAGACCCCGAGGAAGGGACGCACGGGGGACACCGAAAGGAGTGAAAGACTGCAGAAGCGCAAGGATAGAGCCGTCCTCCAGGCTGCGCACTCACCGCTGGCGGGCCCGCGGAGGGGGAGGCCTGGTTGGGCCGCAGGGAGCGGGGCACCGAGCTCAGACTCATCATTCTGGTCCCGCAGGTGGCTGGGCGCCCAGCCCCGCCACGTGCGCGGTACCTGCGCCTGGCTGGCGGAAGTACACTTTTGCTCCACGCCCCCGGGTGGGGCAAAGTGGGCTCAGGCTGTGGTTAGAGCCTGGGGTTGACTTTGGCTCTGCCAAGCATGCGGTTAGACCCTAGGTCAGACACAGACCCTCTCTCGGAGGGGGTTCCCAGACAGCCAAACGGGGGAGGCAGAGGGAATTGACACGGCCAGCAGGAGACTTTCTACTCTCTACAGTCCTAGGAGTGAAGGATCAACAACCCCCATTTTACAAATGAGGAAAGTGAGGCTCCAAAAGCTAGGGTGGCACGTGTAGAATATTTATCCACTTAAGATCACCTGCTAAAAGTTCAAAGCATGACCACCGATGAAAAGAGCTAAGATACCGGTTGTGTGGGTTATTTTGCTTGTTAAAACATAGCCCTAAGGAGGGGGAACATAAGTCCTCATTCCTAAAGTATGGTCTGTGCATGGTGGCTTTCTTCCAAAGAGGACAGCATGGAAAGGGAGAAAAAAAGAAAACTGACATACCGTACTTCAGCCAGGTAATCAAGGTCAACATCAAGATAATAGGAAGTACCCTTGGTATGATGTGATGAAAATGGCACTTTACCTCTGATCTTCCAGCCCAAAACCCAAAAACCCAATCTGATGAGAAAAACAAATAACAAATTCCAATAGAGGGGAATTCCAAAATATATCTGACCAATAATCCTCAAAACTGTCAGAATCATTAAAACAAGGGGAATCTGGGGGCACCTGAGTGGCTCAGTCAGTTGAGTGCCTGCCTTTGGCTCGGGTCATGATCCCAGGGTCCTGGGATCTAGCCTCCAGTAGGGCTCCCTGCTCAGCGGGGAGCCTGCTTCTTCCTCTCCTGCTCCCCCAGTTTTTGCCCTGTCAAATAAATAAATAAAATAAATAAAAATAAATAAAACAAGGAAAACCTGAGAAACTGTCACGACCAAGAGACATAGCAACTAAATATAATGTAATGTGGAATTCCGGATGGGATCCTGGAACAGCAAATAGACATTAGGTAATAACTAAGGAAATATGAATAAGCTGTGGGCTTTAGTTAGTAATAGCGTATCAACGTTGGTTCATTAACAGTAACAAATGTACCATACTAATGAAATATGTTAAGAATAGGAAAAACTGAGTGTGGGGTATATGGAGACTCTCTGTACTATCTTCTCAATTTCTCTATACATCTAAAACTGATCTAAAAAATACAATAAAAAATTGACTCGATAACAATACAACCACTATGCAAAACAGTATGGAGTTCATAATCTTTATGCTGGTGGAAGGTTTGCCCTAGTATTGTGGCTGCTGACTCACCGGGGTGTTGGTTGCTGAAGGTTGGGGTGGCTGTGAAAATGTCTCAAAATTAAGACCACAATGAAGTGTGCCAAATGGATTGACTCTTTCATGAATGATTTGTCTCTAGCATGCAATGCTGTTTGATAGCATTTTACCCTCAGTAGGACTTCTATCAAAATTGGAGTCAATCCTCCCAAACCTAGCTGCTCCTTTATCAACTAAGCTTACGTAGTATTCTAAATCCATTTTTGTCATTTCAACCATCTTCACAGCATCTTCACCGGGAGTAGATTCCATCTCAAGAAACCACTTTTGTTGCTCATCCACGAGAAGCCATGAGATTATGGCAATTCAGTCACATCTTCAGGCTCTACTTCTCATTCTAGTTCTCTTGCTATTTCCACCACATCTGCAGTTACTGCCTCCACTGAAGTCTTGAACCCCTCACAGTTACCCATGAGGGTTGGAATCAACTTCTTCTAAACTCTTATTCATGTTGATAGTTTGACCTCTTCCCATGAATCACAAATTTCTTCATGGTATCTAGAATGGTGAATGCTTGCCAGAAGGTTTTCAATTGACTTTGCCCAGATCTATCAGAGGAATCACTCTCTATGGCAGCTATAGCCTTATGAAATGTGTTTCTTTTTTTTTAAGATTTTATTTTTTAGTAATCTCCACACCTAATGTGGGGATTGAATTTACAACCCCAAGATCAAGAGTCTCCTTCTCTACTGACTGAACCAGCCAGGCAACCCATGAAATGTATTTCATAAATAATAAGATTTGAAAGCCAAAATGACTCCTTGATCCATGGGCTACAGGATGGATGTTGTATTAGGAGGCATGAAAACAACATTCATCTCATTATACATCTCCATCAGAGCTCTTGGGTGACCAGGTGCATTGTCAATGAGCAGTAATATTTTGAAAGGAATCTTTTTTTCTGGAGCACCTGGTCTCAACAGTGGGTTTAAAGTATCCAGGATGTTACAAACTGATGTGTTCTCATCCAGGCTTTGTAGAGCATAGGCAGAGTAGCTTAGCATAATTCTTTTTTTTTAATATATATTTTATTTATTTATTTGACAGAGAGACACAGCCAGAGAGGGAACACAAGCAGGGGGAGTGGGAGAGGGAGAAGCAGGCTTCCCGCTGAGCAGGGAGCCCGATGCAGGGCTCGATCCCAGGACCCTGGGATCATGACCTGAGCTGAAGGCAGACGCTTAACGACTGAGCCACCCAGGTGCCCCTAGCATAATTCTTAAGGACCCTAGGATTCTAAGAATGGTAAATGAGCATTGGCTTCAACTTCAAGTCGCCAGCGGCATTAGCTCCTAACAGAGTCATCCTGTCCTTTTGAAGCTTTGAAACCAGGCACTGACTTCTCCTCTGTAGCTATGAAAGTCCTAGAGGCATCTTCTTCCAATAGAAAGCTATTTCATCTGCATGGGAAATCTGTTGTTGAGTATAGCCACCATCATGAATTATCTCAGCTGGATCTTCTCCATAAGTTGCTGCAGCTTCTACATCAACACTTACTGCTTCATCTTACACTTTTATGTTATGGAGTTGGCTTCTTTCCTTAAACCTCATGAATCAAACTCTGCTAGCCTCAGACTTTTCTTTTGCAGCTTCTTCACCTCCCTCAGCCTTCATCCAACTGAAGAGAGTTAGAGCCTTGCTCTGGAGGATTAGACTTTGGCTTAAGGTAATGTTGTGGCTGGTTTGATCTTCTATGCAGACCACTCAGACTTTCTCCATATCAGCAATAAGGCTGTTTCTCTTTCTTATCATTTGTGTGTTCAATGGGGTAGCACTTTTAATTTCCTTCAGAAACTTTTTCCTTTTCTTAAAAATTGTATTTATTTATTTATTTGTGACAGAGGGAGAGAGAGAGAAGGAGAAAGAGAGAGAGAGAGAGAGAAGAGGGGGAAGGAGAGAGAATTCCAAGTAGACTCACCACTGAGCATGGAGCCCGATGTGGGGCTAGATCTCACAACACTGAGATCATGACCTGAGCCAAAACAAAGAGTCAGATGCTTAACCAAATGAGCCACCCAGGCTCCTTCAAGAACTTTTTCTTGGTATCCACACCTTGGCTAACTGTTTGGCATAAGAGGCCTAGCTTTTGGGCTATCTCAATTTTCAATAAGCCTTTCTCACTAAGTTTAATCATTTCTAGTTTTTGGCTTAAAAGTCAGAATTATGATGGGGTGCATGGGTGGCTCAGTCGTTAAGCGTCTGCCTTCGGCTCAGGTCATGATCCCAGGGTCCTAGGATCGAGCCCCACATCGGGCTCCCTGCTCAGCGGGATGCCTGCTTCTCCCTCTCCCACTCCCCCCACTTGTGTTCCCTCTCTCGTTGTGTCTCTGTCAAATAAATAAATAAAATCTTTTAAAAAATAAAAAAATAAAAATAAAAGTCAGAGGTATGAGACTCTTCCTTTCACTTGAACACTTAGAGGCCAGTGTAGGGTTATTCATTGTCCTAATTTCAATATTGTTGTGTCTCAGGGAATAGAGAGGCCCAAGGAGTGGAAGAGAAATGGGGGAATGCCTGGTTAGGGGAGCAATCAGAACACACACAACAGGGGTGCCTGGGTGGTTCAGTCAGTTGGGCATCTGCCTTCAGCTCAGGTCATGATCCCAGGGTCCTGGGATCAAGCCCCACTCCGGGCTTTCTGCTCAGTGGGGAGCCTGCTTCTCCCTCTCCCTTGGCTACCGCCCCTGTTTGTGCTCTCTCTCTCTCTCAAATAAATAAACAAACAAATAAAATCTTTTTTAAAAAAGAACACATACAACATTTATTGATTAAATTTGCTATCTTATATAGATAGCATGGTTTGTGGCACCCCAAAACAATTACAATAGTAACTCAAAGATCTCTGATTACAGATCACTATGACAAATATAGTCATAGTGTAAAAGTTTGAAATATTGCAAGAATATGACATGGAGACACAAAGTGAGCAGATGCTGTTGGAAAAATGGTGCTGATAAAAGTAAACTGTAATTGGCTGCTATATTTTATATAATCATTTCTGCGAAAGCCCAGTTTTTGGATACTAATATTTGACATGGTTAATTCTTATTAATTTGTTGGAATTGTTTACTGTTAATAATGCAAATAGATAATTTTTAACTATCCTTAAGTAACATTTCACTATTAATGGTTTGAAATGGGTGGTAAGCAAATCAATTTGAAATAAAATATGAACCTGTGCCATTGTATTATAACACTATACACTTTCTTGATGGTTAAATTTTTTAAAAATGTGGTTTTTTTTTTGGTAGCATATGTTTATAGTATATGTAGTAAATAAAAATATGGCCAAATGATGATCTTTTGAAAAAAAAAAAAGAAAGAAAAATGGTGCTGATAGACTTGCTTGATGTAGGGTTGCCACAAAGCTTCAGTTTGTAAAAAACACAATATTTGTGAAGCGCAATAACACGAAGTACAATTGAAAAAAAGAGAGAGAGAGAAAGTAGGAGACAAAGTCTGGGCCACTCAGAGGGTAGGACGTTGGATCAGAGACTACAAGAAGGTAAATGATAAAATAATCCCTCTTTCAAAGGGGAACGTGGCACACTTGTCTTATTCCTTGGTTCTGGGTGGAGAAAAGTCTTCCTGAAAA